ATGCTGTATGCGAAACAATGTGAGTTTGGAAAATTGCACAGTATAAATATATTCTAGTAGACCTCAACAATGGAATTATGATCAGTGGAAATGGCCATGACACCTCTCCTTTAAGACCCTATTGTCTTACTTGGTTTGGAAAAAATTGAGTAGGTTCAAATAAATTCTCATTTTATCTCTTTTTTGGTCTCTACCAACTCCTAAGGAAAAACCGTCTGGCTCATTAGCTGCTCCACTACACCCATCTGCTCAACTCTGACTTTATCTGTTGGATATTTGGTTTTGGGTAGAAAGAATTAAGTGGCTTTATTAGTTAAAAACTGTGACCTGCTGGTGCAGGGAAACAAGGTTGACAAGAGCAGCGAATGAAAAAAGTAAAGATTTATATGAGCAGACCCAAACAATTACCTAAAATTTGCTAAAAAGCTGAGTAGAGCTGAGGAGAACTTGTGTGACAAAGCCATTCAAGCAGCTTTAACCAATCGCAGTAGTAGCCAAGCACAGAGATGTGAATCCCAGTCTTTGGTGTCAAAATGCAGTAATTTATACAGCAACTAACCACCCTGACATCTAACTATTACTTTCAATGTAGCAAATGATGTGGGTGAAGATAGTCCAGACCACAGCTATGTTTATTAAGCATTATATTTTAATGTATTTTGTAATCTGACATCCTTTCTGCTCTGAAAATCATGATATAGTGTGACATCCTTCTTTAATCACACAATATATAGTAACCCTCTATTCCCCTCGGGGGGAAACATACGCTAAGTCATGAATCATTCATTGCCCTGCAGTGGACCCAATGGTTCTCAGAAGTCAGGACTTTAAAGGAACCCTACACATGGCTATGTCACTCTGTCTCAGCCCAGCAGCACACTTAGGCAATGACTGAATATAAAATTAGCATGAAGAGAGTTATTGGTAATGTCCAAGTCTGTAGTAAGAAAACAATGAGCAGCAGCGGCCTTTTCACAGAGGTTACTCTGTTGCTGTGTCTCAATTTGCACAATTTCCATAGTAACCTGCCATGTTATAAACTGTGAACATTGTACAGTGTGTCAATTTGGACTTTTTAGTGTTGTCTTAAATTTCACACTGCTGCTATGCCATGACGGGAAGTGATGATGGCCGCTGTTAGCAAGTTAGCTATAGCAATGTTGTCACTCATTGTAGTAAATCATTCTAGACTGCACAATTGACCAAAGAAAAACATGACAGAGGCTTCTTTCCAACACCAGTATTGTGGTACGTTAAAAACAAGTGAAGAAATGTTTATAACATCTCACATGTTTAACTTTGGTGTGTTAACAAGTCCAACAGAAACAGTGGCAGGTTGCGCAACTCAGTTACGTATAGCCAATATGATTTTCCTTAAGTACAAGCAGTGTGCAAAAGGCCCCAGGAAGTGCCGGGTGTTGAAGCAAATTTTCAAACAAATACCGTGTCAGTCTTTGATGTTATTGGACCCAAAACGTTTTCTTTTTCATTGACTTCAATTGGGAAAGATACATCTGTAAATAAACATTTCATTTTCTTAAGGTAAATCCGTTACCCAGTACTAACAGTTGAACAGCCCTTATTTAGATCATTAGGGCTCAAAAAAACATTTTCCCTTTCCATTAATTTCATTTAGCTGAGACCGGTGGATCAGAGGTGGGGCTTAAGGGAAATGACAGTGCGCACCCTCTATGGGCCCAAGTCCCCTGGTCCTTTTTGTACTTCTAGTCGGTCCATATTTGGCTTCATGCTTCACTGAGTAACTTTCAAATGGAATGATCAGGGGCCCGCCTCCGATGCTTTGACTAGTTCTCTTTATACATCCATAGTAGTGTGCAGTGTTCCACACTATACTCTTGAAATGTTGAGTCCACCATCAGGGTACTCATAGTTCACTGTATTTTGCCATACTTTGCATTGGGTTGCACTTATGCACTCAATTTGGCACATGAAAGTACAGAAGTATGCAGATTGAGACACAGCACAGGTCGGGTTAGGTCATGTCCCATCCTCTAGCTCAAAATATCTCTATTCGTTTTTGTCAATATTGTAGCTCTTCACTGCTGGCAGCCATCCCACCTCCATCCCTGCCAGCTGAGCCTTTTAAGACTCAAATAAAGCTCTGAATGTAAAACTTTTTTCTGATTCAAGCGAGCTGCTCTGTACACTTGTTCCCTTTCTGCTGCTGGGAATCTTATACAAATAAATGGAAAAGGTATGTGGGTTCAGCTTCTATCCGGCTGTGCTTTCAAATTCAGATTCACATCCTGAGGGCTATGTTTGGGATGTGTTAGAAAAAGTATAGCTCCCTCATATTTCCTTAGCAAACTAGTGGTGAAGATCAACATTTATCAGCAGATCCAAGTATATTAGTACGTTCTTTACCTTGAAGAAATATATTGCAATCAATGCAGAAAACAATAAAGGAAGAAAATAAGAGTCTCAAAAGGTCACTCACACCATAAATGAACACTGACTTTATAGGAGAGAATCAATGAGTTAAAAAAACATCCTTTATGAAATATTTATTTAGATATTTCTGTTAAACTCTGTGAATTATTACAAATTAATCATAATTGCCCAGCAGTGTCTCAAATTAGATGATGATGTTCTCTGAGATTGCTTGGAGATACATCAAGTGAAGGAGTATCAAGCACTGACTGAAATGTCATTTGTTGGACAGAAATCATTAACTGTGTTAGACAATGCATTGAGTTTAAAGAGAAGCATGTCTTTCAGGACATCAACATAGTTTTATGTAAAAATCACTATAAGAAGTATATAGTTGTTAAAGTAAACACAATGTTGTACTTGACCATTTCATTCAGTTTGACTCTACTAATTTATTTGATTTAACAGCCCGGGTTAAACTATTAAACGGGGTTAAAGTTGACAGATATACTAAATAAAAAGCCTACTAATAAAATTACATCTAATATTTAAACGTAAATACAAATTAAATACTGCTTAAAACAAGGTCTTGGTTGCTGTGGCAGTTATGGCTCAAGAAGTCTAAACTGACGTTACGATCTATACTGTATGGCTGTGTCAATACATTTTTCTCTTTGTTATGCCTTTACAAATCTATAATTGTCAGAAGTCAATAAATGGCCGGATTTGGCAAAGGGCCATTCATTGAGTAGGTTTGCTCTAGATAATTTACAAAAAATGTTGAGCACATTTATTAGAACGTTTGCAGAATATACTGCAAAGGTGCCCTGTCGTTTTTTGGGTTTTTCTTTCACTGTAGTGACGAACAAGAAGAAAGTATGGAAGCCTGTTTGAGATAGCCAAGTCAATATAATGAGATATTAAGTCAATATAATGAGATATTAAGTCAATATAATGAGATAACTAAGTCAATATAATGAGATATTAAGTCAATATAATGAGATATTAAGTCAATATAATGAGATATTAAGTCAATATAATGAGATAACTAAGTCAATATAATGAGATATTAAGTCAATATAATGAGATATTAAGTCAATATAATGAGATAACTAAGTCAATATAATGAGATATTAAGTCAATATAATGAGATAACTAAGTCAATATAATGAGATATTAAGTCAATATAATGAGATATTAAGTCAATATAATGAGATAACTAAGTCAATATAATGAGATATTAAGTCAATATAATGAGATATTAAGTCAATATAATGAGATATTAAGTCAATATAATGAGATATTAAGTCAATATAATGAGATATTAAGTCAATATAATGAGATATTAAGTCAATATAATGAGATAACTAAGTCAATATAATGAGATATTAAGTCAATATAATGATATATTAAGTCAATATAATGAGATATTAAGTCAATATAATGAGATATTAAGTCAATATAATGAGATATTAAGTCAATATAATGAGATAGTAAGTCAATATAATGTGATAATTAAGTCAATATAATGAGATAACTAAGTCAATATAATGAGATAGCTAAGTCAATATAATGAGATATTAAGTCAATATAATGATATATTAAGTCAATATAATGAGATATTAAGTCAATATAATGAGATATTAAGTCAATATAATGAGATATTAAGTCAATATAATGGGATGTTAAGTCAATATAATGAGATATTAAGTCAATATAATGAGATAACTAAGTCAATATAATGAGATATTAAGTCAATATAATGGGATGTTAAGTCAATATAATGAGATATTAAGTCAATATAATGGGATGTTAAGTCAATATAATGAGATAACTAAGTCAATATAATGGGATAACTAAGTCAATATAATGGGATAACTAAGTCAATATAATGGGATAACTAAGTCAATATAATGGGATGTTAAGTCAATATAATGAGATAACTAAGTCAATATAATGAGATAGTAAGTCAATATAATAACTTACATGATTTTTTAATTTTTTTTTCCTGTGGTGCAAACAGGCTTCCATAGTATGAGACTTGTAAGTAAGTCTGTAGTAATATTATTTTTATAAGCCTATAAGAGTGTAAACAGACTCTTAAAAACAAGTGAAATCCAAAATGGTAACTAAAAACGTAAGTAGAAAATGCTCTCAGGAAGGAATAAAGGATTTCTGATTCAGATTAATGACGCTCTGTAGGCTCTGTCTCCAGGATGTAGCCCAGCCCAGGTGACAAATCATCTAGAACAAAAGTTCATGGAAAATGCATTTTTGCCTAAGCATCCCCTGTCCCCACACCCCCAACCAATGCATTTTCTTTGGGAAGTTTTTGACCACACATGGATGTAAACATTTCAGGACTTGAGAAGACTTTGTACTAAAAACAATAGTATGTTTTACAGATAACGCATTTTGTTGAGAAACACTTGGTTAACTTTGGTTTGTTAAAAAGAAAACTTTTCAGGGCATCTTTAATGAAAAAATAATGCCTGTTGTACATAAGCAAACACAGAAGAGATGAAGGCAGGGATCACTGATTGTAACGTCTCCATGCAGAACCACAGCTGTCCCTTTACACCTTAAAAATGCATTGTGCTTGTACTCACGCTCAGCGATGACCATGGGGGGGTAGAACAGGAAGTATCCCACCAGCTCTGCGGTCAGCTGGTTGAGGAGGCCGCTGGAAATGGTCCCGTTGAGAATGGCGTCCTGGTTCTTCACCACGTACACCACGGAGACGGAGGGAGAGCCCGCCTCCTGGTACACACTCTGGATCTGAGGGCCATATTAGAATTATTATTCAACTGTTTTTTTTTAATGGCAAACACATTAAAGTAAAGAGACAGCATGAATCATTTAACCTCCATACAGAAATACAAAATGTTATGAAACCAAATGTCTATAAAGAATGCATGACAGAGCCCCAGACACAGCATGACACTTTGAATGAAAGTTTTTTTCTCTGATAAGACCTGCTCTGGAAAGAATGGGACTGAGTCACTGTTGTGTCTTCTCAAATGTGTTAGTTATGTTTATGTATGTTGTCTGTCATTTCCTGTTTTACCTCTTGTCTTTCATTTCAGGCCCTGTTTCTTCCTCCCCTTGTGTGTTTTTCCCGCCATCATCAGCGTCTGCCCCGCCCCTGATTGTTTCCACCTGTTCCCACTCACCCCATGTTTAAATAGTCCTGTCTCTCCCCTGTCCTGTGTCAGTTCGTCTTGTTTGTTTCTCCAAATGGTCGTGCCATGCCTCAGCTCAGAAAGGATCGCTTTCACTCATGTCAGGTTTTGTTGTTAATTTTGTAGGCTTAAGTTTTTCTTAAATTCTCTTTTTGTTATGCTTAGTTTTTTCCTCCTTGTGAGTGCTTTTTGTTTATGCCAGTAGTGATGGCAAAATGAAGCTTTGAATGAAGCATCGAACCACTTGGACAATTGTGTCGGAAATAGGTTCATTTCTCGAAGCTTCAGTTACAGCGACCTCTCCTGGCGAAGTGCAAGGCTGCAGTGGGTTTAACGTATCTTTGCCTTGAAAAATATTTGATGCACACACACACTAAGACTGAATATCATGTTCTATTTGCAATTAAAGATTGATAATTGTGTGTATTGGGTTATTGAGAAGAGACTAGAGAGTGCTGGAAAAATGTTTGGGAGGAGAGGGCCTTTTATCAGTTATTAAAGTATTAAAGTTGAAAAGCAATGATTAAAAGATCATCCATTCCGGGCTTTGAACCAGCTGCGCGGAGGACATCGCCGCATTCGGGCCGCCAGCGCTATCCACTGGGCTAACTATTCCTTAAACTATTGGACTGTTTTTATATTACTCATAATTGTCTTTTTGTTCACAACTTCTCCACATTTCAAAGTGTTTCCTGAACCAGAACGACCTATCTTTCTTCCTGGCTTGATCTATAATGATACAATTCAAATGCAATACCAACAACAACTCAACAGCAACAACGCAAACTACGACAACCCACACATTGCATATTGTTTAGAGCGGTTATAAAGTGTTGAAGCGCTCAAATTCGAAACTATTTCAACCTGTCACCTGTCAGAATCGAGACAAGGCAGTGCATTGAATCACGTGATTGGACGGTGAACCAGTGAGTTGATTTATTCAAGAAATGAAGCAGTTGCTGCTTCGGACGTCACATGTCACGTGATTTGAAGCAAGCCTCTATGGAATAGGAAGTCCAGGGTTGAAGCTCCGTTCGAAGCTTCAGTGTCAAACTGCCTTCACAATATGCAGGTACCTACTCTGTTAAGAGGGATTACCTGATCTTTGGAATTACAAAATACATTTAGTTACATTCAAGACTTTGTCTCTGGGTAGTGCATTTGGGTTCATCAGTTTGTATCGAGGTCGTGACAGAACGAACTGACCAAAAATGGACCCAGCCGACCCAAAAGCGCTCCAGACTGCATTGTTTGTCCAAGGCAGTTTAATTCACCAGCATCAAGAGTAAGAGGTTTGTCGGACCGCAAGGAGGGTTTTCAGACCACTGTAACCGCACAGGTCAATCAGCTGGTGACACAGCTTCAACAGATCCTCACCCGTCTAGAGACTCCAGATGTGCCGACTGCGCCACCTCCCGTCAATCCTGCAGCTGGCCAGGCCGAGGTTCGCTCAGCATTTGTTCCATTTCGGTTGGCATCACCAGAGAGGTTTTTCGGGGAGTCTGGAAACTGCAGAACGTTCCTGGTCCAGTGTGATCTACACTGTAAACACAATCCAGTGGCGTTTGTTTCTGAGGAAGCCAAGATCGCCTTCTTGGTCTCCCACCTCACCGGCAGAGCCGCGGCATGGGCCACGGCTGAATGGGCTCGAGACTCTCCCATATGCAGGTCGTATTCCGCTTTTTACGACACAATGAGCCGGGTGTTCGATCAGACTTCAACCTCCAGGCAGGCCACCCGGAGTCTTATGCAGATAAAACAGCACTCCTACCCTGTCATAGATTACGCCATAACATTTCGGACCGCAGCCTCAGACAGTGGCTGGAACACTTGATAGATGCGTTTATGAACGGACTGTCAGATCAAGTCATCTGGGTGGAATACTCCCACAATACTCTTCCCTCGGCTTCTACAGGTCTCTCCCCCTTCCAGTGCGCCTATGGATATCAACCCCCGCTGTTCCGAGCCAACGAGGAGGAGGTCAGAGTCCCGTCTGCGCACGCCATGGTCCGATGTTGTCGGAAGGTCTGGGCCGGAGCTCGGCAGGCACTCCTTCGGACATCCGCTAGGATGAAGGCAGCGGCAGATAATTCCCGCCGTGCGGCTCCCGTCTACAAACCGGGTCAGCGTGGCTGGTTATCCACTAAAGACCCACCCCTACATGTTCATTCCAGGAAGTTGGCACCAAGGTTCGCGGGTCCTTTCCCAATTCAGAACATTATTAACCCTGTCGCGGTGCGTCTCCGACTCCACAGGTCTCTCAAGGTCCACCCCATGTTCCACGTCAGCAAAATCAAGCCTGTTCAGGAGAGTGCCCTGGTTCCCGCCTCCAAGGCCCCTCCACCACCCCGGGTCAGGAAGCTACTAGCGGTCCGCAAATGGGGCCAAGGACATCAATACCTGGTTGAATGGGAGGGATACGGTCCTGAGGAGCGCTTATGGGTAGCTCCCACACTTATCATTGATAAGACTCTGATCAGGGACTTCCACGATCGTCGTCCTGATCAGCCTGGGCCGTCAGGAGTCGTCCCTAGAGGGGGGGGGGGGGGGGGGGGGGGTTTGCTTAGTTTTTTCCTCCTTGTGAGCACTTTTTGTTTATGCCAGTACCTACTCTGTTAAGAGGGATTACCTGATCTTTGGAATTAAAAAATAAATGTTGTTACATTCAAGACTTTGTCTCTGGGTCGTGCATTTGGGTTCATCAGTTTGTATCGAGGTCGTGACAGTCACCATAGTAAAGTGGATTATGATACGAGTAATTCCCATCCCTGTTCCTCCATGAGTGTTAATATTTCAGAGGAGAGGATGAATTATGAATGGAGCCTATATCTGCCTCTGCTGGCTGAGACCTACTTTATGATTATGATGGTGTGTGTGTGTGTGTGTGTGTGTGTGTGTGTGTGTGTGTGTGTGTGTGTGTGTGTGTGTGTGTGTGTGTGTGTGTGTGTGTGTGTGTGTGTATGTGTGTGTGTGTGTGTGTGTGTGTGTGTGTGTGTGTGTATCCTGCAGTCATGAGAGTACCTTGACAGTCATAGAAAGAGACAGAACATTAGAACAACGCAGCAGAGAACAGAAGAGCTGAATGAGATTAAACATAAAAGGGGGGAATGAGCTTTGATTGTGTCTCTGGAAACAAAATTCATTATATCATCGTCTAATTGCAATTTGCCTCCAACTAGCTGACTAGTCTGACCTTTATTGAATAATTATAGAGCCATGTTAAGATTTATATGTGTTAATTAGCAATAAAGCAGAGCAACAGTGGTCGAAATGTAGCAGGTATGTAAAAGAGTGTTGTAAGTGTCCAGAATCATTAGCAGAGATATGTTGTTCACATTAGCCTGATCACATGCAAATATGACATGTTTGGCTCTCTGAATCAAGCCCTATAAATATCCTCTGTAGCCCACCTCCACAGTGAGCCTGCTGTAGGTCTCTAGCACTTTGTCCTGAGCCTCGTCGTAGGCGTTTTCCAGCCTCTGCTCCAACATCTGGACGAAACTGCAGGAGTAGATGTTATCTGTCGGGCCGACGAACCTCAAAACTGTGGGGGAATGATTGGAAAAAGCAATATTAGGGATTAAAGAAAACAAAGAGACAGAAAAAAGACAATTACTACACTCTAATCGATCCTTTGTGGTCTCTAAATGTTAATTGAACAAGCAATGGGTGTGTCGATTTTTGAAAAGTAGAATAATTTACAATAATACTTAGAGATTAAAGACGTAAAATAAAGCATGACACAAAGATTTAGTGAAGCACTCTTTAGTGCACCAGTCAATCATTAAAATAAATGTAAATCCCTGATCAAATCTACGTTGGAGAGTCTTGAACATATTGGCTTCAGTGACTGTAATATTGTGCTCAATGTCTGTTTCGTATAGTATCGTTTCGTATCGTTTCGTTTTGTATCGTTTCGTATCGTTTCGTATCACATCAAATCGTATTATATTGTATTTTACGTATCAAATTGTTTCATATTGCATTGTATTATATGGAATTGTATCGCATGGAACCGTATCATATTATATCGTATCGTTTTGTGTTATTTCCTTGTTATTACATGACTTATAATACCTGTAAAAAAATATGTTTTGTGTTTTGGGCAGAGTACATGTATGTATGGATAAACCAAGTCAATAAATAAAAAGTAGAAAAAACAATAATATACAGTTGTTAAACCTCTCCTTTGAAGCATATACATTGTATGATCCTTCTAATACCCCCAAACCATGAGTTATGAATGTAAGTAAACAATCTAAAGGCTATAAAGAAGCTTGACTGATATATAAAGTACTGCGAAAGACTGAACTTTTTTTGGCAGGAGAACCAGGACGAAAGTAAAAAGGCATTTTCCTCCAAGCCCATACAGCTTTGACATGCTTTATTTTTAAACACGTACAGCCTTCAACACTCACCAGAATTGGAAAATAGAGATGTTTTGGATGCGATAAGTACATTTTGAAAGGACATACAGGATTTAATGATCATAGCCATTTTCTTTTTGTGTTCTTTTGAAATGTAGTTTATCTAAAAAGTGTTATATGCACTTTGTCCCCACTCTCCCCTATATCACTATTGTTATTATCAGTTTAAAGAATTTGGTAGCAAATGCATCAATAGCAACATAACTAGAAAAGGAAAAGAGAAACGATTTAGAAACTCCACAACACTCTATCATCCAGCAGTATGTGGAATCTGTATCTGTTTTAGGCATTAATGAAAGAATTGCTCCAGATAGACGCTTCCTGTGTGACGATAAACCTCAGCAGTGAAAAGAGGATTATCTCCACTATCTGGAATTAGAACAACTAAAATAGTCCTCGCCATTCCGTACTGTGGCAGCAGGGTAAACAATATTGAGTCCATCAGCAGATTATAGAGGATGTTATTAATGTTGTCTCAGTCCTTTTTATTGTAGTCACCCTCCATTCTCTCCCCGTCTCCTCTTTTTTAAAACCCCTCTAAAGGACGGAGATAGGAGCAGAGGAACAATATTGTGACCTAAATTCATACGTCGTAATACTTCATCTCCAAAAAAAGGCGATACGATTCTTTCACATCTTTCACTGGTCTCATAGTCTGCTACACATTGCTGGCACAAACAGCGTTGACCCAGTTGATAATCTTATGCAAATTGGGCTGTGGATAGTGAATTGGTTTATACTAGAGTATTTATGGTTTATGAGATGAACATGCCCAGAAAGGGATTTTTATTCTCGCCTAAAGTGCCTACTTTATACACAGCCGCACATTAACCTGGGAATAGGTTTTACTGCAGTGTACATCACTCTACAGGCGAGGAAATGTGTCATTTGGAAATGTACCATAGCGCAGTTGGGATTACAGTAAATTGACATAGCACAGTCATTGATGGTTTCCAATTTGTGATTAAAGCCACTATGTTGAGGATTTGTGAATGTCTGAATATGGCAACACCCGGTGGTAGTAATATCAAAAGTCCCGACTGCACACATGGATCTAATATATAATGCTGTGAAAGCAATTCATAAATTGCTGCAATTTTCACAACTGCTCTCTTGTTTTTCTAAAACATCAGTTATAAGAATAATTTAAAGCAATAATTGTAAAATCAGCTCATAAACACTTGGCTATTCACACATCCAGCAGAAAGAGCTACATAAGCAATCATTTGGAGTCTGCTCAGATAAGTTTAGTATAAATATACCCTTTTGCTCTGCTTGCTCTCTAAAAAACAATAAGTGTTTTGTTGGCTGCTAGAAGTCAGCTCTATGTTCACCAGCTGACTGTTAACCATTTTGACTAAAAACAGATACCTGTTGCTGCTTAAAACACGGTTAATGAGCGGGAGTAAACATTAAACAGGCCCTATTATGCTTTAGGGATTTCTTCCTCTCCTGTAGTGTGTTATATAGGTTTTTGTGCCTGTAAATGGTCTAACAAAAAGTTATCTCCCACACACTCCCCGCCCTGCCCCAAACGATTTGAGTCTGGATTGGACTCCTTTTGACTTCCGTAACACTTAGTTATGTGTCGCCTCTATTTCCGAGGCTTTTCTATTTGCACAACACAAGAGGTGCTGCAGCATAGGCAGTATGATAATGTTCAAGAGCTTTTTGAACATTAAAGCATGGAAACATGTCACAGTAGAGACAGAGATAGAGTAAATACAAATATGAACCTGAAAATGAGCATAACAGTGCCACTCTAAGGTTGCACCCAATAAACCAAAACAAATAGCTGAAAAACACTCAAACCCAAAACTGTGGAGCTGCTTGATTATTCTCTCTGGGTTATAAATTTAGCTTGTATGAAATAGAATACAGATATTTTGTAAATACACACAGTGACTTTAACTCAATCAGTAACACTCTACCTAACTTTAGTGAGCTCATGCAAACTTGAAAACTGGCTCATCTTGAATTGTAAAATAGAAAAACAATTCTCAGGTAGACAAGTTAAGTGTTCACAACCTGCATGTGTATCTTTTAAACAGCAATTTGTTAATTGCCCTGATTCTCCTACCCTTGTTCCCACAAGACTCGGTTTAGTTGCGTGTGTGTTCGCCGCTGAAATGTGTTTCTTTTAAGAGGCTTAAGAGGCTGACTAAAAGAATGGACAATTTGCCTCTGCAATCATGGAAGTTTGTATGGGATTTAGGGTATCAGAGAAGAGTAAAGGAGAGCAGACATGTAATCAGAATTTTCTAATTTCGTCTCCGCTCTTCTCTTCCCCTATGTCTCCCTCCCTGAACTCTCATTGTATTTTCGATTTCCCTGCTCTCCTTCTGCTCACTGCAGAATCCTCCACTTTGTATGTTCAAGGTTCTTTATTTGTCAAACGAACATAGCTACAGTGTAGTTTTGTCGATGAAAATCTTGTATCACAGGCTTCTCCAACAGTGCAACACAGATAAACAGAAAAATATAGTGCAAGTAAATAGTAAATACAAGAAGAAAAATTGTTTAAAAAAGTGAAATAGTGCAATACGAGTGTATATGCAAGTCATTGAAATATGAAATATTAAGCAAATAGATAAATAATTTTTAAGTAGCAGCCAGATTAATATTAGGGATGTTGTTTCAACAGTTCAGTTCAGTCTTATTGCCTGCGGAATGAAGCTGTCTCTGAATCTGGTGGTTTTAGTCCGGATGCTGCGGTAGCACCTGCTAGACGGCAGCAGACAGAACAGTTTGTGGCTGGGGTGATGGGGGTCTTTTATAATCCGGAGGGATTTCTTCCTGAGCCGCTGGGAGTAAAGATCCTCCATGGATGGCAGCTCCATCCTGGTGATGTGCTGTGCAGTTTTCACCACCCTCTGTAAAGCCTTACGATTGAGGGCGGTGCAGCTGCCGTACCAGGCCGTGATGCAGCCAGTCAGGATACTCTCTATGGTGCACCTGTAGAAGTTGCAGAGTATCCTGGAGTCCATGTTGAACCTCCTCAGCCTGCGGAGGAAGAAGAGCCGCTGTTGAGCTTTCTTGGTGATGGTGGTGGTGTGAAGAGTCCATGTCAGGTCCTCAGTGATGAGTCCATGTCAGGTCCTCAGTGATGTGGACCCCGAGGAACCTGAAGCTGCTAACTCTCTCCACTGTAGTCCCATTGATGGCGATGGGGGCGTGTCCCTCTCTCTGCTGCTTCCTGTAATCCACAATCAGCTCCTTTGTTTTGCTGACGTTGAGATGGAGGTTATTGTCCTGGCATCAAGATGTCAGGTTTTCGACCTCCTCTCTGTACGCCGTCTCGTCGCCGTCGGTGATCTGGCCGATGACGGTCGTGTCGTCAGCAAACTTCACGATGGTGTTGGAGCTGTGTGTGACCACGCAGTCGTGAGTGAACAGGGAGTAGAGGAGAGGGCTGAGCACGCAGCCTTGAGGGGCTCCGGTGTTGAGGATCAGGGTGGAGGATGTGATGTTTCCCACCCGCACTGCCTGGGGTCTGCCCGTCAGGAAGTTCAGGATCCAGTCACAGAGGGAGCTGTTGAGCATGAGCTTGATGACCAGCTTGGAGGGCACAATGGTATTGAAGGTTGAACTGTAGTCAATGAACAGCATTCTCACATATGTGATCCTCTGGTCCAGGTGTGAGAGGGCAGTGTGGATGGTGAGGGCTATGGCGTCGTCTGTGGACCTGTTTGCTCTGTAGGCAAACTGCAGGGGGTCCAGAGAGTCAGGGAGGGAGAAGGTGATGAAGGTTTTGACTAACCGCTCAAAGCACTTCATCATTATTATTATTATTCAAGGGCGGTGGTGGCGAAGTCCATAGGGACTTGGCTTTTCAACTGGAAGGTCACCAGTTCAAGTCCCAGAAAGACCACCGAGGTGCCCCTGAGCAAGGCACCGTTCCCTACACTGCTCCCTGGGGCCGTACATAATGGCAGCCCACTGCTCCTAACACTAGGATGGGTCAAATGCAGAGAAACCTTTTTGTTACATAGAACCTGTACTACGTAGTGACAATAAGTTCAATAAACAACAATAAACAATGAACAATACATCTTCTTCTATTATGATGGAAGTGAGTGCTACTGGACGGTAGTCATTGAGGCTGGTGGTTTTAGTC